AATACGGAGTATATCTTTTCGTTATTCTCAAATAATATCACATGCTATTGGCTTAGAATATAATGGGCTTCCTCCTAATGTGGTATTGATCACAAGCTTGTAATCGTTAAATTGCAATTTATATTCTTTTGGGTTACAAAAATATTTATGTACCATAAATACTATTGGGCATTAACCTACTCGCGCAACGCGCGATACAAAAACTAGTAATATAATAAGTTTAGGAGTTGAATCAGTGTAAGATCGACAAACCTAATGCAAAATTTGGACTTTGGGTTTCATGGATAGAGATGAGTTGCAAACACTGAGAATTGGGCTAAAATGCATATTTATTAGTGAATTCATTGTTATGTTATTAGATTCAAGACAATATCTAAAAACTTATAAACACCAATGATGGTGAGGGCATTTTAGGAATGATAAAAATGTTGGTGTAACATTATAGCAAAATGCTCTTGTACCAATTGTTTTAGGCATTGCCCCATTCACTATAATATCTCTATCTACTCCTTACTTCGGTTAAAAACTGACGTGCACTTAGTCGTGTGTGCACTCAAAATAATTTCAATACTAGCACTAATACGTAGTATAGTGAAGTAGAGTTCATATCCACAGGGAAAGGAATAATTCTCTTTTTATGAACTAGTAAATAAAGGGGGGTTTTGATTGAGTGATTTGATTAAAATTAAACACGAAGATGAACGAGTTATATGGGTTTTAATTCAAAGATCAAAGGGACTTGGCATTGCTACTTTACACTTGTTGATATATTTGTAGTCGATCATTGTTATATCTATAACTTATCTCCTCTCGAATACTCAATCGAGGAGTATATCCAATTCATCGATGATAGTTATTAACAACGACCGTTCATTAATAACCCTTACTATTAGTCAAGTATAGAACAACGCCATATACCGACTTGATAGTAGCATTTAATCTTTCAACTCCTTGATGAAATCAATTGAGATTGATAACCTCAACACAACGGTTTCGGTTTAACCAACAAAATTAATCCCTCTTAAGTTTATTAACCACGACCATGCATTAATAAACCGAAGTTACTTACTTGTGAAACTATCAACGATTAACCATCGGTTCGTTGATCGTTTCTAGTAATAATTAATATATGAAACAAAACTAGTTGATCCTTTAAGTAATGTTCAAAAAATTAATATGAAATATGAATAGGAATTAATTAATACTCAAGGAAGAATATTAAAGAAGATGAACCCTACTATAGTTAATATCAAGATGTTAACTAATTGTCATCTTAGTAACACTCCCCGATATTAACATAGAGGAAGGAATAGCTATTACTAAGACCAATGTCAAGATGTTAACTAATTGTCATCTTAGTAACACTCCCCAACATTGATATAGAAATAGTATTTAAAGGAAAAATTAATATTCAAGGAAAAGAAGTTAAGAAAATAACTCACAACTTTAACAATCATTAAGCTTCAAGAGCAATACCAAGAAATGGAAGTTTAGCTCCTCATTTGGAGACTAAACATGCTAAAAGAAATATAAAGAAATGCTATTCTAAACTGAGCTTAAGAGTATCAAGGAATTGGTCTCTAAAAGTGAAGGAAAAGAGGTGTATTTATAGGCTTTTTTGAGGTGCAGGTCGGGTACTCGATCGAGTATGTGTAGAATGGTGAATTTTGAGCCATACTCGACCGAAGTCGGGTTGAAATTTATATGTATACCCGATCGAGTATGTCGGTGTACTCGATCGGGTATGACAATAGAACGTGGCCAAATCTTTCCTTGCATGTTCCTTTGTTCCCGGATCGGATCCTTGAAAATCAGTATTGGTACTCGATCGAGTATAAGGTATACTCGACCGAGTACAGGTCAAAATCAGGAACTTTCCTTCTTTTTGTCTTGTACTCTTGCACCTTCCTTCACCAATGATCATTTGATTGATCTTGGACCTGTTTAAGCTCAGAACAAACCTAATCTAAACAATTTACAAGAATTTAACAAACTAAACTATTACACAAAAAGTGTGTAATTTCCGAAATATTAAACAACCAAAACTAACTAAAAACGTAAATAAACACACGGAAATTACAAACGTATCAAAAACCAAACGGAAGAGTTTCCAAGTTCATACATGTGCCCTTGTCATTTTACTTCATACTTGATTGAATTTATTTCCATTCAATATTTCCACTTAATTTTTCATTTGTAATAAATTTTTCTCTACGTAACCTTATTTGTTATGTAGAGGATAAAAATACAAATTTTATGTAAATTAAACTATTATTATTATTATGATCATCTTATCAATAATTTTATTATTATCAATGTTATTGTTATCATTATTATTATTATCGTATTACTATTATCAATATTTTTATGATTATTATTATTAATATTTATTGTTATTTTTTTCTTGTTATTTGTATGCTATTAAAAATATAAAGACATAATTAAGTTGTTGCTATTATTATTTGAAAAAGAGAGATTTGCAATTTTAATCTTGTAACTTTTGGTTGTTATCGTTACTGGTCATGTAACTTTAATCACATGCAAATTTGGTCCTGTAACTAACAAGTCTTTTCAATTTAAAGAATTTTCCATTAGAAAGTACATTTTCTGGCAGAAAAAACCGACGTCGGCGACATTTTTTCCGGTATACTATCATTGAAAAGTCTACTTCTCAAGGAAAAAGTCTTTGAATCACAAATATTAATTAGTTACAAGATCAGATTTACAAGTGACTAAAGTTACAAGACTAATAATGAAAACGGCCGAATGTTACGGGAAGAAAATTGCAAATTTCCCTTCTGAAAAACTATAACATCATTTCAAGAAGCCAATATCTTGCCTTAATATGTCTTAAATTCCTTTATTGCAGGGTCATAAGTGTCAATTGAAAATGTAAATATGGAAACACGAGTTTAATCTGACACTTGTTATATTCTATGTGTATAGATATAGTTTTATTATAAACGGTAGATGTCAAATCATCACCACAGCCACCCCCAACTCAATCCAAGTACTCCGTAATATGTCTGTCCATTGAAATATTTTATTTCATATGCTTATCAGAGAAGAATATTAAGCTATTGAATCCGAAATTGATTTTACCTCAGTGGAACTATATATTAATCACATTCGTTATTGTACCTGCCACTTAATAACTACATATTGGGCTCAAATATCAAAGTGGCACACATGTTTTGCACACTATAAACCTCATCATTCAGCCCACTATTTTTTTATTGTTTAACTAATCAAAAAAGTGCAAATAAGCCCTTTTGTAGGAGGTTCTGTCCGATCATCGTCATTTGGGGAGGTTTTCGGTGGAATTTTTTGATGAATTTTTTTGGGCATCTTCTTCATTAAGTCTAGTTTAGTCATACCAAATTTCAGCTAAAAAGTCAACCGGTAAGGCACTCAAATGATTTTCGGAAATATACCGCGTTGTTTAATTGCGCAGTTATATTCAAAAATTCATTTGACTGTCTTCCCGAATGAATTTTTAGCTGAAATTCAGTATGACTAAACTAGACTAAATGAATAAGATGCTCAAAAAAGTTCATCAAAAAATTCCACCGGGAACCTCCCCAAATGGCGATGACCGGACGGAACCTCCTACAAAAGGGCTTATTTGCACTTTTTTAATTAGTTCGAGGGCTTACTTGCCCCTTTTCCCTTCTTTTTTTGGTAAACTGTTGATATTATATTCTTATAAAGTGTTTGTGTACGATTTCAAGCAACCCAAATATAATAATCATTAACATTCCATTATACTAACCTTATGAAAATAATTTTGGGCATTTTTTCCTCGCGCATCGCGCGTCATACAACTAGCTATATTGATAAAAAAAATTAGTTTTATATTCAGTACATCCTCAGAGAGAGGAAAACCCTAGCGGCCGTCTCTCCTCTTTGTAAGGGTTATGATTTTCTGCCTCCCCTATCAATATTGGGTTGGAGCGGCATATTATATTGATTTTAAGTGTTCAAATGCTTGGAATTGCAACTATGTCGGGGGCAATGACATTGGCGGATGAATGAGGTGCAGCTGAGAGGTTGTATCGAGGCTGGATCGTGAAGTCTTGGTCGGTCATTCTGACGGTGGTGGAGTTGGTATTCATCCATATTGCAAGAGTTTGTTCTCCTCCGGAACCACCTCCATACAAGGAAGACCTTTGTGGAAATATTTTATTTCAGTATTATTTTCTCTTTACTAACAAATGTTTCTGTTTTGGTCCGAGTAGATTTGGTTTGAATGTTGGGAAAGTTTTCGAAATAGGACTAAAACAGTTTGAAAATTCCAAAATAGGACTACCATGTTTTTTTATTCCCAAAATAGGAGTAATTACTGTCAAGTTTGGAAAATACTACCATGTTTGAAGTCTGGTAATGCCAAAACATGGCAGGAATCAGTCCTATTTTGGGAATAAAAACATGGCAGTCATATTTTGAATCTTTCAAACCTTTTTAGTCCTATTTCGGATAATATTCTCTTGAATGCTTGGATTTTGGAGTTCTTTTGATAGGCAAGGTTTCAGATTCGTTCGTTTTAGGTTTGAATTTGTCCGTTTCATGTTTAACGAGTCAGATTGTTTGTATGAAATGACTGACTCTACGTCTAATCCTAGGGTTCATAATCTGGATTTGTAAAATCTGTCTTAGGGGGTGTTTGGATCTGATTCTTAAAACTGCTTCTGCTCCCTGAAGTTGGAGTGTTTGAGTGAAAATGCAAAAGTGATTCTGGTATCTAATTTACTCATAGAATCAGTTTTTTTAGAAGTTGAAGGAGACCAGCTTCTGAAAACTGAATCTAATTCCGCTTCTACTTTAAAAAAGAAGCAGAATCACAATTAGTTTCACGCACCCCTAAAAGTTTTTTGTTTTGATCGTCACCCCTAATAGTTATTTAGTATGCGTATTTATTTTTAATATAAAAGTTATTTAGTTTCAAATATTTTGTCTAAGAACCGAAACTAGTCCATTGAAATTTGAAACCTCCTTATGTGGTAATTTCGTTAACTAAAAAAGTCACCCTCGTACTCGGTAACTTCCAAATTAAGGTCCGTCAAACTGATCCGTGTATGTGCCGGTTAAACGGGTATATTTGGTGCCTTCTAGGACTAGGACAAGGACCATGGTTCTATGTACACTGCTCGCCCAAGCTGAAGCATCCGCCAGATTTTTATATTCCCCCACTTTCTCACGCTAAAGATCATCTTTTTCACATATCTTCGCCGCCTTATACAAACTAAATCTATTCCAGGTAAATCATTTGTAAATGTATCAAATCCTATGGCTGTAATTAACTTTACGGTAGCTTATGCTGTTGAATTCCCGTGCTATAGACTTTTTCTTTTATGGAATCAAATGTGGAATCCGTTTATGATCTATACGCGTTCTTTAATCATCCGTGCTGTTCCATATGTAAATCAGTTAACTTGATCTTTGAATTTTCAGTCTCGGCAGTATTACAGATCTGTGGATTGGGGGTAGATTTTGAATTTTGTGAATTAGATGGTGGAGTGTTTTGTTATTTTTGGTCTTCTTTTGCTTTTCACTCTCAGGTTGTTAGGGTGGAATTAACCCGCCCTGCTTTAGGGGTTCTTTGGAGTTTCCTAACTTGCAGTCCGGTTCTTGCATTTTTATGCTTTATTCAACTGAATTTTAAGTTTGTAATCATCACTTTGACTTGCCATTGGCCATCACTGTTATGCAATAATCAGCTTGTTTGCTTAGATGCGTTTAGGTATCATGCATAGTGTTGAGATAAGTGGCATAGTCACCGGTCAGGATAAATTATTGGGTGGTCGATAAAAAACATTCATGTAAATATTTACAAAATAATTACATATTAAGGCCTCTTTCAGTATCTTTTTCTGTTCTTTGTTTTCTCTTTTGGGAAACTAAAAGCAAAATTGTGAAAAGCAGGTATTTTTTTTAGTTTTGTTTTGTTAGAATTTTTCAAAATTAACTTGCTTACAATAAGTATGATTATTTTTACTTAATTATATATGCAGCATATACCATCATTTTCATTCATAAAACAAAAAGCTAGAAACTGACAGCCATACCAAGTGGTCCCTGAATAAAAGGTTTTAGTTTTTACTGAACTTGGGGTGGCCTGTACCTACGCCCCTGGTTGAGATGAGACCAAAAGTTTTTAGGACTTAAATCACTTTGGTGTTAACTGTTAATTGCTTTCTTTTGTTATTCACTTCCTATAACCCTCATTTGAAAGTGTTTCCTTGATGTTCAAGAACTCGGAAAAATTATAGGTTCCATTGGGTGTATGTGCTGCCACAGTATATAGTTACTGGCTCGAGTAATTTAGAGTTTAGACTGTCATCCTTGTTAGCTATATTCCTGTCTTGCATTGGGACGCTCTCAATTTAGCTTCAGTGTACTTCTGTCTTCTATTGCTGAATGAATAAAAGCTAAGCAATTATTTTGTTTTAAATATTATTGGTAGGATGGAAACACAAACCACATCGCCAAAAAGAGCTCCTGGACTCAGTGCAGAAGTGGTTGGGAAGGCTTTTGTGGAACAGTACTACGGTATTCTTCATCACTCTCCAGGACAGGTCTACAAATTTTATCAAGAAACAAGTGTGTTAAGTCGCCCAGATCCTAATGGCTCTATGACATCTGTGGCAACCATGGATGTAAGTACGTCGAGTACAACCCAAACTATGCTTCTTTTTGTCGAAAGGCTGTTTGGTGTTAAAAGCCTAACTAAATTACTTATGGCATACTCTTCTTGTTCCTTTTCTTGTTGGTTGTTTTGACCAGTTTTTTACCAGTTTCATTGTATAGTAGCTAGTTTGCGAACAATGTTGAAGTTGAACCATAGTTGTCGATGGCAAAGAATGGTGCGTGCGCCATGCGCCATATGGCGAGAAAACCCTCCATCGCCATGAAAGTCTTCATGGCGACGAGCCGACGGCCATACAGATAGCGGCTCCTTATTTGCGCCATCGCCATGGCAATTGCTCCATAATATTAAACAAATCTGAACCAGTTTACTTTGTGATTTTTGGGCTTTTGGCCATGGTAAATACTTAAATAATCTGCCAGGCCATAATATTAATAAAACCCTAATAAGAAATTAATATGTTAGCCCATTATATTAACTAAAATTCTAATCAAAAGTAAATAAAGATACAAGTAACACGTATCTAAAGGAACCCTAATTGTTAAACGTGAACCACAGCAACAGTAGAGGAGCTAAACCTTTACGTCACATGTCTATTGCAAATTTAAAATAGGTATAGTGGTTTAAGGTACTGGAAGTCTGAAACATCATGTACACTATAGTTTTCCAACTTTTTTTAACGTGGTATCAATTTATTAAAGCAAAAGTAGCGTACTGGCATCCATTTATTTCCAAAGACAGAAGCTTATTTGAACTTCATAATTTCATATCAAATAAGACACTCCTCCTTCACAACTTCACATTCAGACCAAGATGAAGAGGAGTGTGATAATTGGTGATGACTATGGCATAATCATCAAACAAAAACAAGTTCACATATTTTGAAAGACATGAGCCTTTTTTTGAATATTATGTTTTTCTGGACTACTTTAAACTATTTTAACTTCACATCTTTTGGTTAGAATGTTGGTATTCAACCTTTTTTTATCATGTTTTGGTGGTTGGGTGATAGAATTATAGTGTCTACAATTCGTATTTTTAGTTATTTGTTTTTATCATGTGGTGACGCCATATTTGAGCCGTCGCCATGGATGTCGCCATGCGCCATGACAACTATGTGTTGAACTGTTAATATTGATCGTCATTTCTGAGACCTATGCTTCTTTCACTTATTTGTGGCAGAGTATTAATGAAAAGATATGCTCCTTTGATTACAAAAGTTACAAGGCAGTGATTAAGACCGTTGATGCTCAGGATTCCTACAATGGTGGAGTGATTGTTTTGGTTATTGGGAGTTTAACTGGAGAGGACAATTTGGAAAGGAAATTCACCCAGACATTTTTTCTTGCTCCACAAAAAGTTGGCTATTTCGTTCTGAATGATATTCTCAGGTATGTTGAGACAGATGTTTCTAGTACAACAGAAGGAAAGGACGTTGAGGAAGATGATAACCCAGAAGCTAATGCAAAAATGGTTGGAGTTGATGATGCACAGACAGTTGTTCCAAGCCCTGATCTAGGTATGCTACCTATCAATTGTTTTTGAAGCTCTCTTGAAAGAAAGAGTTTATCTCAGCATTATCATTTTATGTGCAGAAGCGGTTGATGAGCCTGAATGTCCAAATGTTTACCCAGCTACCTCTCACATAGAAGAGGTTGAAAATGTTGACATAGAAGTGCATAGCATGTTGGAAGATGAGAAACAAGTTGATATTGATAGAGAAATACAAACAGATGATGAATCTCATATAAATGAGAACCAAATCTCTGCAAGTCCGGAGTCAACTACTTCTGCTGCCCTAGACGACGCGAAAAAAATGTCATATGCATCTGTTCTTAGTTCACAGATGAAGAAAGGGGCAACAAAAGTATATGTGCCCATCCGCGATCCAAGGGTGAAGACTGAAAAACAGTCATCTAGCTTGGTAGTGAGTGCTCCCGCACCTGAACAACCACCGGCTCCTACAGCCGCCAGTGGAGTTATTGATGAAAGTGTGGATGCACAAGATGGTACATCATACTCTAATAGCAATTTTCAAACTCATTTCCTTGATCGTTTCTTATGCTTGTAATGAAATGCTCTCTGTAAGACTGTAACTACTTTATATACTCCCTCCGTCCCGCAAAGAAGTTCCCGCTTTCCTTTTTTTAGAAGTCCCAAAAAGAAGTTCCCCTTTCTGTAAATGGCAAGTTATCTACATCAAAACAGTGCCAAACAGTGCAAAACAGTGCCAAACAGTGTTGAAACAGTGTCGAAATAGTAAAATTTACCCCCTCGTAAGTTTATTTCCTTAATATGTGTGTAGGTCAAACCAGGAACTTCTTTGCGGGACGGAGGGAGTATTTAATAGGGATTGGCTGAAAGTAGTTCATGATTAGTTATTTTGATTTTTACACCAGTAATGTTAAAGTTAATAAATATCAATCATGTTTAGTTGGCTTGTCATATTTCATTTGTGTTTTGTACTACATTTTTACCATTAGTTGTGTAATCACTCTTCATTTTGTTTATCCATCTGCAGGGCATTCTATTCATGTTCGAAATTTGCCTTTCGATATAACAGTAGATGAACTGGAGGGTGAATTTAAGAAATATGGACCTATTAAGCATGAAGGTGTTCAAGTCAGAAGTAATAGGGTAAGTTCATCTCACATTCATTGTTGCAGTCATTTGAATTCTTATCTAATATCTCTCTTTTTAACAGCAACAGGGATTCTGCTTTGGCTTTGTTGAATTTGAAGATATGAGCTCTATGAACAATGCTATAGAGGTGTGTGATGTTTGAATCATGCCTTTATTATCAGCCTATCAGGCATAGGTGTGAAATTTAAATTGGCTCATTAGTTACATCCGAGAGTTCTAATATAATGCCATGCAAGGCTATCTAATTTCAAAATGTAATGCATCCTGATTCTGCAGCCCAGCCCCTCAGTTTCTCTCCAAAAGACTTCCATCTTATGATCTATTTGGTTATAGTAACTATTATGCTTGGACAAGGGTTTAGGCATTACTTGCATGCATTATTCAGTGTATATGCTGTTGCATCTTGTTTAAAATTTCTTTTTTATTTTAAATTCTTCTAATTGTTAGTGCTCTTCAATTCAGGCTTCACCTATTATGATTGGGGATCGAAAAGTAGTAATTGAGGTAAAAAGGACTACAGCCCGAGGTGAGTTCAGAGTATCTATGTCTGCCTAAAATGCTCACAATTACCCTTCACAAACAACAATTTTAACTGTCCCCCATTTCTTTTCCCTCCAGGTGAGGGGAGAGGTCGGTTTTCTTCGGGTCGAGGGTACCGAAATGAAAGGTTCAGGGACCATGGCGATTTCACAGGAGGTCGTGGCTATGGGAGAAATGATTATGGAGGTCGTGAATTTTCAGGCCGCACAAGGGGGGGCCAAGGTGGTGGAAATGAAGGAAGAGGAGGGAGGTGGGGAAGGAGAGGTGGTTTGTTGAGCCAGAATGCTGCAGCTGCTTCATCAGCATACTAAAGCTAAACGCTTTTTGTCCAATTTTGAAATTTCTATTGCCACTTGCCATGACAGTGCAGAGGACCAGCATTATGATGATGATGAAAAGTTAGTAATTCTGACTCGTTCATGTTCTGCCCTGAGGAGAGTAGCACTTTTGTTTTCATCAATGTTTAGACTGCTGTATTTGAGTACTTTTTCAACCCTAAGGTTTTGTATGGGCTTGTTGTCTTTACCTTAGGTGCTTGCGTTGCTCCCACGATTAAACTAATTCATGGGGCCTATACTCCGATAGTACCTCAGCCAGTTTTATTTATTTATTTTGTATGTTTATCTGAAAATCAAGATGAATAATCCATTGCCTTTGTGTTTAAATATATTTGATTCATTTATGCTTATGTTAGACTAGAAGTTTATGAACATGATGGTAAAAGACACATCATAAGTTCTTTTTTTGCTGAAAGAAAAATGAAACTTTTATCATCATACATGAGTTTTTTGTTCTTTAAGAATGTTTTCTTTTGGACTGCTTTCTATGGTAGACCAAACCGGACTTAAACAGATCAGAACAGATCAGACTAGACTTGAACAGATCAGACTAGACTTGGACAATTATAAAAGAGATTATTACCCGAAATAGGACTAAAAAGGTTTGAAAATTTCAAAATAGGACTGTCACATTTTTATTCCCAAAATAGGACTACTTACTGTCATGTTTTGGCAGTACCAGACTTCAAACATGGCAGTATTTTCCAAACTTGGCAGTAATTACTCCTATTTTGGGAATAAAAACATGACAGTCCTATTTTGGAATTTTCAAACTATTTTAATCTTATTTCGGGAACTTTCCCATTATAAAATACACAGAGATCAGACATCCAGACCACACATTTACCGGAATAAACCAGACTTAAACATACCAGACCAAATTAGACCAGCAAATTTAAGTCCAAAAGAAAACATCCTAAAACCACTTTGAACATATCTTTAGATAATTATAACCTAATAAGCTTATTCCGTTCAACTGTTCAAGAGTTCAACCGCAATATTACCGTGTGTGTGAAAGCATTACTTCTTAATTCATCATAGTTCCTAATTGATATTCAACCAATTGAAGCTTGAATGCACCATGCAGATTCAATACCCAACTCATTCCCTATATATATATGTCCCCGACATGCACAAAAAATGTTATACAAATGTATAATGAAGTTAGCCACCTCCAGTCTCCGACTTCCAAAACTTCTAGGAGTTCTAGCACGCACATCAGATGACTTTTTTGAAAAAATCTTTACAAAAGATTTAAGAGCCCCCTCTATATATCAGGAACAGCGCCTCAAACAAAACAAGTATGAGAACCAACTGGTCTCAGCCTCTCTCGGCTCTTCTTTTGAGTTTCCTTCCTGTGATTGTGACTCTAGCTGTTCTGGTTCTGCTTTTTCGGGCACCGATTTCAATGACGCAGCATTTCCACCATCGTTCACCAGCCTGTAAACCAACGGAATGTGTTGTTATAAAGAATCTGAAGAGCCAAAACCAATAAATGGACGGTTGAGGACATTTGAAGGGTGTTAAGTCTCACAGTTTGGCCAAATGTAAATATGAACCAACATATAAAGTTTTGTACTGCACCATCTAACTTTCAATGTGAGTTTGCTCAAATGAGACACCACTATATCTATTAGTTTATCTTATCTATTAGGTTTACCTTTGAAGATGGAACATCAAATCATAATAGAAAGGAAAACAAGGGAGCTTACAATGGGAAAGCAAAGGAACTGCTGCTCGTCCCACTCTCATCAGAAAGCCGTGGGGCATTTAGACCAGTAGCAGTTCCACTTCTTCCATCTGACGTGTTTGCAGAGTTAATAGCAAATGAATGGATTTCACTAGACGCTGCAATTTTGCTACTCGATTCTGGTTTTTGCTTAGGGGAAACTGGCTTTGGACTTTCAACATGGGATTCCAGTGGCACTGGTAAAGCCTCACTCTTCTCTTCATTATCTAGAGCCCCACCTTCCATAACTGGAGGAAGTGTAGAGGAGAAGCTCTTACGATCGTTGCCATACTTAGTAGCTTCAGAAGAAAACAAAGCAGTCCCATCTTCGGTTTTTATGAGCTCACCGGACTTGTTCATCATAAGAAGAGCATGTTCTCTAGAAAAGCTAGCATTACCCATGTGAATGCTGAACAACGACTCAGTTGAAGCAACACTCCAATCCATTCCTGGTGCATTGGACCTGCTGCTGTCAAACACGGTAAGCGGGATACGATTGGGATCATACCCTGCAGGTTGCCCCGTCACAGATGGGATTGATGGAAGCGATCGATTTTCTGGGAATGATGATAAGAGAGAGCTATTACTAGGAGAACCGCTCATCATGCTCCATTGAGGTGTATGGGTTGAAATGTCAGGACACGATAAAGATTCAGGGGTAGGTGAGTGCTGAGGTTTTTCGGGATCGACTGATTCGTCTTCAAAAGACGACGACGAAGAAGAAGAAGAAGGAGATGAGGACGCGGAAGGTGAGGTCGAAGGTGAAGAGGAACCAGAAGATGTTGGTGTGCCTTCAAGAAGCTGCTGATCATCATCAACGCCATTGTCGGGGATAGCCTTGAGGGGCTTCAAAGGGTTTTCATTTTCAAGACCATTCTCCATTCCTATCTTCCCCTCGGATATGCACAAACCTTATTGAGGATTGTTACAGATCCAAGGATACTTCCTTCCCTTCTGCACAAAAAGGATCAATAATCAATACAGGGAAAAAATCAAATTTATAATCTCTGTTATTCAGAAAAAGAAAAAAAACATATAATAACCTGCCTACATCAAATCCTTTTACGTCTTCTTCTTTCCCTGACACACACAAAACGTATTAGGATCAAAATATGGTTAGGATTGCACATAATACACCTTTATAATATAACAAATCTATTGTCTGTGGGATTGTTTTCAGTGTCCATGGCTTTGGAGAAACATCAAATGATGCTAGATAAACAACAGATATTGATCTATTTGGTATTCATTCATGAATTCATAAAATAAATAATGAATTAATCAAGTGCATCAATTGATTATTATCCAATTGAAAGGAATTGCAGCAAGACAAGAATTACATTTAACTTATTTAAGAGAGGAAGAAAAGGAACCTGAGCATACCTAAGGTTCAATAGCAACCCTTGAATATATCCTCATTCCTCAGGACAATTTGCAAAAATTGTACATTTCAAACATGGTTTCTAGGGCTTTGTTTTTTTAGTGCATTTTCCGCCCCATTTATTAAGGGAAGGCTGAGAGACCATTGCGGTGATATTCATTTGTCCGCCATGCCCACAAATTTGTTGCCTCGCCTGGCCTACTCCAAATTGTTGTACCTCTGTGAAACCAAAAATTCTGTGTATTTTGGTTTTGAGTGAGCCTGAAGTCCTGAACCACTTGTGGCATTCATTTTAGTAACTTTTTCATTTTTTGTATAACTGATTCATTGAATATAAAAAATATGGACAAAAACTTTAAAAACTAGGGTGAAAAAATGGACATAATTCAAGAATGTATTCCCTAATACTACGTATACTACTAGTAGCTTTCAAAAAAAAAAAAATACTACCAGTACTACGTAATACGTATCTGACTTGCAATCCACCTACTATTGATGTATAACTGTATTCCTCAATAAACATATACTCCGTATATCTTCTGGAAATCACTAAGGCTTTGTTTGCAAGTGATTGTGCTTAAATAAAAGCACTTTTTGGGAAAAAGTTATTAGTAGTAAAAGTTGGTAGTGTTTGGTAAAATAAGTGCTTTTTGTGTAATAGAAAAAGTAAAAAGTAGATTCTATACGGAAGCTGAGAAAAGTAAAAGTTGGTAGTGTTTGGTAAAATAAGTGCTTTTTTCTTAAAAAAAACCACAATCACTTAAATTAAGTGATTGCAAACAAGCCCTAATTCCAGATATTCTCAATAGCCAATCATTTTTTTTATATTTTTTATACACAAAATTGATACTGTTTTTTTTGTTTAAAAAAAAACGATATGTTTTTTGTTTGAGAACTTCTTGTTGTACACACTTTTATACCCAACATGTTTGTGAAGAGTGTTTTTTATCTGTGACCGGGATTCACAGACAAAAGAAAAAAACTGTACAAACATGGTGGGTATAAAAGTGGGTATTAGGGTGGGTACAAACAATTTTTTTGTTTTTGTTTTGATACTCCCTCCGGTCCTTATTAAAGTTCCCACTTTTCTTTTTGGGATGTCCCTTATTTAAGTTCACACTTCGATTTTAGGAAACAAAACAGTGCAAAACAATGCCAAACAGTGTCCAAACAGTGCACTCCACAGTAAAGTCAAATTTATTTTCTTAATCTGTGTGAAGTCAAACTGAGAACTTTAATAAGGACCGGAGGGAGTATTTTTTTTATGCTGGATGGTGAAGGAAGTATGTACGAAGTACTTGTGAATATTGTAATAATCAATTTTGTTGATTTTACATTTGGGAAAACTGTCAAATAAATCCATGTACTTTTAACAAAAAGTCAATTGAGTCCATGTATTTTTTTTCGAGTCAATCAAGTCCATGAGCTATAAAAAATCAACAAAATTAGCTGTTTCAATGGGTAAGTAACCGGTTATCCGGTGAGCTACTTGGACTTCCAGCTGGGCATTTAATTTTTACTTTTTTCATATATATTTTTTCTTTTCATTTTCTTTTTCTATTTCTCCTCCATCTGCAACCCATATCCTTCTCCTTGCGCAGATTACGGATCCATGGAGCATCCAGGTGGTGGTGGCCATGGAGGCTCGGGCGGTTGAAGGTCGTTCAAATGGAAGAGGCGAAGGTAGAGACCACAGAGGTGGAAGCTGGAGGCGGTGGCAAGGGCGGCGGAGTTGGTGGTTATAGAATCCGGCGCGGCTGGAGGTCGTTGCAATGGAGGCAAAGGGATGGAGGTTGTGGACGGAGGCGGTGTGTATAGAGGAGGGGCGGTTGAGGTGAAGGTGGGGGCCGGACTTCGGATGTGGTGGGCGGCGGGACGGTGGCTATGGAGGCTGGGCCTCGGCGGAGGTAATGGGTAGAGATGTCGGGGCGGTGGAGTTTGTTCCAGTGGGACTGGCGGAGCAACGATGGAAGAAAGAGCCGGATTTGTTGTGGAGACAAGAAAGGAAAGAAAAAATCGATCGTGGGGGAGCTGAGAACTGGAAAAGGAGAAGAGGAGCAGACTGCGGACAGGAAGAAAGAAGAAAGAGAAAAGAAAAGAAAAAAATGGAAAACACTAGAAAATTGCCAGCTGCAACATCCACGTAGGTGATTAACCTGGTAACTGGTTGGCTACCTACTAAATAGCTGATTCGGTCGTTTATTGATAGTTCATGGACTTGATTGACTCGAAAAAAAGTACATGGACTCAATTGACTTTTTGTTAAAAGTACATGGACTTATTTGACAATTTTCCCTTTACATTTTTATAAAAATCATCAAATAATTGTTTTTAATTTTGGTTTGGAGATTGTTTGTGTATTATTCATTATTCCTAGTAATATTTTCTATTTTTTTTTAAATTTAACAACTAATTTATTATTAAATGGTAGCAAAGATACAAGAGAATGAATAGCGGATTGATAAGTCCATATTTCGACACACATTTCATTCGTGTTGGCATTGATTTTTTATTAGTTTTCCTAGCTAAAATGAGTCACAAGGTGTCAATTTAACTCAAGTTATGGTTTATAGGGTTTTCTTTTGTATTTTGTATTCTAGAAAATCAGCTGCCTGCCAAAATAACACCAACAAGCCAGCTCCTAATTGGAACATTTCATGTGTTTCAAAACAGGAAAAATTTCAAGGATTGAACTATCTGAATTATGAGTATATCTTTGGATATCATGTTTGATGAGTGCCCTTGATACCAACTGAGTCCCAAGTGAGGTAAAAGTCTAGAGGGGAGGTGAATAGACTTTTAAATCTTTTCATTTTTCAGTCCCTTTTCCTCTAACTAAATGTGTTCCAATATCTTTTGGGAGATATTGAAACATGCAACGGAAGTCTTGACCTCAAGAGAGTGACATTTTATAGAAACAAATGTTATGACCCTTTTAATTGTGAGAGAGTTGAGTTAAACATGTTACAAATGTGTTTGCTAGAAATAGATGACTCAAGGAGCAGGCTACCAAAACCTGAAGGAGATGGCTGCCAGACAGTTTGGAGCTGATTGCCAAAACCCTTAGGAGCAGGCTGTCGAAATGATATTTCTGCTTCAATCTGTTAAGATATAGCAATGAACTGTACTCTAACATATTGATAGGCTTTAGAACTAGTCTAAACACATGAGTACGAAGGATTTAGACCTATAGAGATAGATCACTTTGAAGAACAGATAACAAAGAGTTGACTCATAGTGAACTGGAAATGTTCACTGGACAGTTTTAGTGAGCAAGCTGTTTTGCTGTGAAATTGTGAAGATGAGTGAGTACTGAATTCATGTTAGGAGCAGAATGTAAAAGGTGACACAAGATATACCCTGGTTCAGAGGTAGTGTAATCCTCCTACATCCAGTCCCAACCTATTTCAGATGGATTTCCACTAAATGAATATCCTGTTACATTTAGTGCCCCAATCTACCCTTGTCTCAAGCGTAAATTGTGAGATTTTTCATAAGGAACTAAAACACCGTTCCAAACTACTCAATCCTCCCAAGGTTTTTCACTAATGGAATTGACTTGCCAAGAGCTACTCATGTCCTTGACCTTTCTCACCTTCTGGATTTGATTACAAAGCCCTCCAGAATGTCGAACACTAGTCTAAACTACCAACTAATCTAAGCTCTATAGATTTGTATGAATTGTAGCTAGTCTAAGAGCATTAGACGAGTGGGGTGGTATGATTGCATTGATCATTGAATGTTTATATTTTTACTTTTAATTAGTTTTTATGGTGTTGTTATTGTGGTAATTTCACATTTACGGTGGAGTTATTTTATTTTTCTAGTTTGCTGTAATTTAGTACATTTAGAATTATCCTGAGCAAGACTTAATCAAGAATCAACAAAGGATCATGGAAGATATCTTACAAAATCAAAGGAAGGTGCAAGGGAGCGAGAAATCATGCAAAAGATGTGTTTTGGCGACTTATCGGTCGGATATACTCTTTACCCGGTCGGGTATGAAGTGACCCGGACAATTAAACGTGCTGAAGAACACAAGGACGTGGGAAAGATTTGATTTTGACATTTACCCGGTCGGGCATCTGCCCCATGATGTTGAAAACACCTATAAATAGCACGCTTTTCATTCACTTTTAATCACCCCTTCTTCCATATACTTAAGCTCAACTTAGAATAATATTTTCTTTATATTTTTCTAGCATGTTTAGTCTCCAAATGAGGAGCTAAACTTCCATATTTTGGTTTTGCTCTTGAAATTTGTTGATGATTAAAGTTGTGAGTTATTTTCTAACTTCTTCCCTTGAATATTAATGCTTCCCTTAATCTATCTCTATATTAATGTTGGGGAGTGTTGCTAAGATGGCAATTAGTTAACATCTCGACATTAATTATTACTAGAAATATTCAACGAACTTCGGTTTATTAATGCACGGTTATGATTAATAAACTTAAGAGGGATTAATTTGGTTGGTTAAACCGAAACCGTTGTGTTGAGGTTATCAATCACAATTGATTTCATCAAGGAGTTAAAAAGATTAAATGCTACTATTAAATCGGTATACGACATTGTTCTATATTTGATTAATAGTAAGAGTTGTTAATGAATGATCGTTGTTAAGAACTACCCTCGATATGATGAATTGGAGATACTCCTCGATTGAGTATTCGAGAGGGGATAAGTTAAAGATATAACAATGATCGACTAAAAATATCAACAAGTGGAAAGTAGCAAAACCAAGTTCTTTTTATCTTTGAATTAAATCACATATAAGTCGTTCATCTTAGTGTTTAATTAAATTAAATCACTCAATCCTAAAACCCCCCTTTTATTACTAGTTAATTGAAAAGAAAGTTATTCCTTTCCCCGTGGATACGAAATCTACTTCACTATATTACATATAATTGTTAGTATTGAATTTATCTTGACGCACTACGACAAAGTGCTCATCAAATTTGGCGCCGTTACCGGGGAAAGACAAATATTTTTCCTTTTTATTTTATTTCATAAAAAAAATATATTAATAATATTCTTACTTTTCTATTTTCTGAGCTTACATGAGTATATGGATACCAACACATCATCCTTAGAGAGTAATATTTCCATCTTGGTTTCGCTAATAAAAAAGTTTATCTTAAGCTAAAATGCTCAGGATGTTAAGACCTGCAACATTTGCATATCTCACAGTCATCTTACGGATTTTTGCCCAAAGCTCCAAAAAGAATATACCTTGAACAAA